CTTTGAATTTCCTTTTCTCTGCATGCAAAGTTTTCCAGAGAAGCATTACCCATAAGGTTGCACTCTACTTTAGATTTAAACCAACGACAATCAAACAGCAACAAAAAAATCAAACACTGAAACTAATGTTCTCTCATGTATATGAAGGTCACATTCATAAATGCCTCGTGTGGATTTGAATGTGAAGTTATTGAAATAAAAGGCAAGTGTGTTTATTTCAACACAGTTACCCAGATACATGCATCCCCATGAATGCTTTGTCTGGATAACAGCACATGTACAGTTAATTGGTAGAGAAAATGACGTATCATATACACGCAACACACTATTTTCACACATAAAAATTCCTTCAGCATTTCTTCCCTTTACAAACATTTACATAGTACTCAGAAATATTGCATATATTAGGAATTCAAGAAGCTGGAAGTTGTAAAAACTCTTTATGAGTTGGTTATAAAACCTCTCAGGATAAAACCTCGCTCATAAAATTTTTATATTAAATATCTAAAGCAATTTGGTACCACGAGGGTATGTTTTGGAAAGTTTATAATTATCTGTAAACTGTACTTCAAAGATAAGATTTTTATATAAAACTAATTTTATGAGCCATTAGGATAATACCCTATTAGCAATGTTATCAAATCCTCATAAGAATTTTAAAAGTACAAAAGCAATCCTAAAGCAGTGATTTCATTTTTTTTAAACTTTTTTTATTGAGTTATAGTCACTTTTACAATGTTGTGTCAAATTCCAGTGTAGAGCACAATTTTTCAGTTATACGTATACTAAAGCAGTGACTGCAAAACGCATACAGAGAACAGAATATGGTAACGTGGAACTCTGTCAGTTCAATGGTGAGCATATTCCAGAACGCATCCTGGACCCCAGGCCAGAGGACGTAGCATGATCAAGATGGAAAGGCAAAGAATCTGTTTGGAAGGGGGCTCTCAGCAGCCGTCTGAGGGGCAGGCACTAGGAAACTGGAATGCCTCTTCCATCCTTTCCTCCATTAGTTTGAACAATCGAGAGTTGACTGTATATTTATTGATCTATTTAGCAAAATTAAGTCAAGTTGGACTTCTTCCAAAATTCCTCCATTTAAAAGCATAACAACATAACAGAAGTATTTCCAGTGCTTAATTTTAATCCAAGTGATTCAAAGACAAAGGGATGTCAATTAAGCAGTAATTAATAGATCCTTTATTCATGCCTACTTATAAATCAATATTTAAGAGATATAAAACTAATTCTAATTTATTTTAAAAATTATACAAAATATAAAAACACTAATGTGATCCATTAAATAGTATACAATTCTCTAATTATGTGACATATGCCATCTTGGTATCATTGGATGCTCCTTATTAGCTATACATTGACAGTGGTATTCACCTTACGCAAGCATCACACAATTGCTGGTCATTTCCTTTTTGATTTTTAATGAAGTTTTGAAAGAATGGTACAGAGGGATCATGAGGCCATACAGAGTATTAAACAGGACTAGCACGCTTAGCAGTGTGTGTGTGGTGGGGGGGAGGGGTGGTGTGTCACAAGCAGAAGAAATCGCGGACAGTGATACTAGCCCAAAGTAACATACTTTCCAGAAAAAGGCTGTAGCTCACTGTCATCTACATGATTCACTAAAAAATGTCCAATTCTGGGTGTCACATTTTAGACGCATATTCACAAACTACAACTATCTGAATAAAGGAAGTCTGGACCTGACTAGAAGTCATGCCACATGAGGAAAGGCGAAGATATTTGGGAAAGAGGAAAAGATTAAGACATTCAGACATCTGGAAAGATGAGGACTTGTGACATCTTCTGCGTCACAAGGAAAAAGGAACAGACATCGTGTGTGGTTTGAGTGAAGACCTTAAGCTAACGGAAGCTACAGAACTTTTTCCCAAAATGATGCACACTGCCAGGTTTTCAGTGATAGACACTGAGAAGTAGAAGAGTTTTGCTTTAAGAAAATTAAAAAACAGTGACTTTCAAGAGGTCCCTTTACACAGAGTAATGGGAACTTAAGTCCAAGCAGAAAGCTAACAAATGAGCAAGGTGAGGAAGCCGAGTAGAGCCTACTCAGTTGAAAAATGGATTAGTAGACAGGAGGAAAAAATGGCAAAATTAAAGGGCAGAAGACAAGAGAGAGGGGGATAACTGGAGCAGCCAGGTAGAGGGTGGGGGGTGGCGGAGGACCGAAAACACAGAAGGAGTCTCCCATGCTTTCCAAGCCTGGAGGACAGGATGCTGGCACTGGCTCAGAGACTGGTGCATTAAAAGAAAACACAGAGTGCGTGTCACTTTTCTTTTTAGGGAGGACAAGCCACCTGGAGAGAGTTGGAAAAGAGAGCTGACTCGGATCCTCGAGGAAAACGGTAAAGAATTCTATGGCAGTGGTGCAAGGGGACGAAGGGAACCCACGAGCAGCAAACAAAGGAGTGCCGAGCAGAGTGCAAACCCAGGAGAAATGGAGATGAGCTCATCGCGTCCCACGCTGAGGTTTTCTTTAATGGAACACATGTTTTCAGTGACTCAAAGACAAAAAAATCAAGAAATTCTGTAAAGCATTCTCCATGGAGTATGTCACTAAAATTTGTTGTGCGAATGATAGCACCGAGATTTAAATCACCAAATCAGAGTGGTAAGCTGTTCAGATGTAACGTGTAGGTGGCAGACAAGTAAGTCAAGAAAATATACACAAACAGCTACACCCAGTATTAAGAAGGAATCAGAGGGACGAGAGGGCTGTGTCGGTGCTCAGCCACCTACATAGCGCATCTCTCCAGTTTCTGATTACAGTCAAGGAGGCCCCCCGCCAGCAGTCCCTGCTGTAAGGTACACCTACCCTCTTTTCTTCTATTACATAAATACCCGTGTTTTCTCTCCTCTTTTAATAAAACCTACTTTTTTTTGAATCAAATCATTATTATACACAGTACACTTCAAAAGCAAAATCTACTATATATATGTTTAGAGCCAGAAAAAAATATATTTGGGAACAAAGTGAATTCTGCTAAACCAGGCATGCAGAGCCAAATGCAAAACCCCCCTCAGCGGGGACCCTAAAACTGCTCTAAATAATGAAGTCATAATTAAAAAAAAAATGCTGACTACTGGTACTGAAAGTGCTGGCGGCGGGCCCAGGCACTTGGCAGGAATGCCGTGTAACAGTTGGTATCAATAAAAGAAATCACCACTAAAACAACACTGACATACTAGGGAGCACCCTTAATGTGTTTTCCTAAAGAACAACTTAGCACAGAGATTTGCTAAAACATCTGCTTTAGCTAGTTTTGTTAAAATTTGCTGTTGAAGAAAATGTAAAAACTCCAGTACCGTGGCTACTCCTTTCCACGTACTAAAACCTGTCCTTTGAACATTATATACTAGAAAGCAAACTGGACACTGCATTTAACTTTCTTTTTCAAAGGACATTTGGAAATGTACTCTGAAAGTTTTCAGGGAAAAAGTCCTTAAATTTTAACAACGAATATTTGTAAAACAAAATACTTCAATCTAGATTTCTAATTTTTGCTTCAAAATGAGAACCGAATTAATATTTTAACATATTCTTTTATATTATTCTCTATAAGATATTAAATATAATCCCCTGTGCCGCACAGTAGGACCTTGCTGTGGATCTATTTTAATGTAGAGGAGTTTATATCTGCTCAAGTCCACATTTTAACCAGAGACACGAATTACTGAAGTGTAACATCTTCATACTAAAAGTAATGTAAAAATAAGGAGATACAATATATATTATGAAAGATTTTATTTTAAAATCTTA